TCCATGATGTCCTTACTGAAAGGCCTTGAATCTGCCCAGCAACTGATGACACTGCCCTGTCCCCCGCCACCTGGTACGCACACACACCTACACACACACACACACACACACACACACACTTACCCGGATGATATCTTTGAAGTTTTACTGCAATGTGTTGGAATCAATGAAAAAGGAGGTGCTGCCGCTTTAAATACAGAGGTGTATTTACCTCTGTGTGTGTGTGTGTGTGTGTGTGTGTGTCAGAGGGGGGGGCTCGCAGCAGGGGGAAGGCTCTGAAGGCGGAGACCAGGTCAGGGATGGAGGAGACGGAGTCGCTGCTCAGATCCCTGCAGGACCGAGTCCAACACGTCCAACACAGGAGAGACAGAGTCACAGCGCTGCTGCAGCTGCTGCACATCAAGGTGGACACACACACTCAGAAACACACACACCCCTGCTCTGCCCGATTGTTCTCATGCCCCGCCCCCATTGCCCCGGCAGCGGCAGCATCAGGATCAGCTCGTTGTGTCACTGCTGAAGGCTCAGAATGCTTTGCAGTCATGTGACCGCCAGCTGGCACAGCTGAGGGCGGAGTCAGAGGCGGTGCTCCATCAGCTGGTGTTATGGCGGTGCCTCAGAGACCGGTGAGTAGAAGGGTCACATGACTGTTGAGGGGAGAGGCTCTGATTGGCCATTAACTCTTACTTCCTGTCAGGCTGCAGGAACACGCCACCGCCACACAGGCAGTGATGCAGATCCAGCTCATCTCTGTCGACCAATCAGAGCTGCTGCTGGAGATCAGGCCACGCCTCCTTTCCCAGCCATCAGCCAATGAGCTGCAGCCCCCGAGGCTGGCGGTCAGCTGGCGCCATGACGACAGATTCACCCTGCAGGTAACGCTCAGACCTGTAAATGCTGCTGATGTCACTTCCTGTCGATGTGACCAGGTGACCTTCGTCTCCAGGCTGGGGAGGAGTTAGCCGGGCAGGTGGAGGGCTGCGGGTCCGGACGTTGCGACGTGCTGAGCGCCGCCCTGCTGGACGTCCTGCAGAGCTACACGGGCCAGGCGGCGCTGCTGGCCGAGATCCACAGCCTCAGGGCCAGGTGAGGCCACGCCCCCCACCCCCCCGCCCCCAGCTGAGGCCACGCCCCTGTCCAGCCCAGGTAGTCCGGCTGTGTCGTATCTGATGTCCAGCGTTGTGTTGCAGCTTTGCCATCGACTGGCGCCCGGCGCAGCGCCTGCTAGTCTACCTGAAGTCGGCGGTGCTGGTTTGCCATCTGCAGGTGGAGGACGGCTACCCGGCAGCCGGGTCGGCCCGGCTCAGCTTGGTGCTGCGGGACGGACGGCCGGTGGACACGGAGGGACTGAAGGTACCGCAGCCTCTGATTGGCCGCTCTGTGGGCCAATAGGAGCGTCTCTGTGCCGTCCAATCAGAGTTTAGATGTCGAACCATTTAGTGAAAGTTTCAGCAGATTTGTCACCTGATTCCAGATTATTCTGAATTATTGATGAGGTTATTGGATAAACTGAGTCAGATTATTGATTATTGATCTGATCGGTTTCTCTGTTTCTGTCTTCCAGCCTCATAAAGCTGAACTCTCTCTGACCGACTGGCTGGTTTTCCTCTGCAGCAGTCCGCTCATCTGAAGGAGGGACAAGCTGTCCTCCACACTGTCCTCCAGTCTGTCTCAGTCTGTCCTCCATTCTGTCTGTCCTCCACACTGTCCTCCAGTCTGTCTCAGTCTGTCCTCCATTCTGTCTGTCCTCCACACTGTCCTCCAGACTGTCTCAGTCTGTCCTCCAGTCTCTCAGTTTTTTCTCCCTTTTCTCTTTTCTTCTTTGTGTTACTTTGATATAAAATAATAAAATAAGTTCTATAACCACAGTAACTGATTAAATTTCCACACATGAAAATATTCTCTCATGTTTCTGGTTCAAGTTTGTGGGGGAAAATAATCCATCTACATTTACTTATCTATTTAGATCCATATGTTATAAAAATACTTGATTACATTTATGAAACTATATATATAGTTAGACACATAGATATTCTGTATTGATTAATGTTTATGTATTTACACATATGTAATCTAGAAAAATAATTTTTAGAAAAATTTTAAAATATTTCTGTAAAATACACAAATTTTAAATGGTATATAAAATCAAAAATGCTTTGATCTGTAATTACATTCCAGATATCTAAAACTACATTTTGACTATCCGTAATGGTGTAATGCAGAGGTTCCCAAACTGTGGGGTGCGCCTCCTAGGGGGGGCGCTGTGTCATTGCAGGGGGGGCGCGGGAAGCCATCTGGATGAAAAAAAAAAAAAAAATGAACCCTAAATTTTTGGAAACCACTGGGGGGGCACAGAAAAAAAAGTTTGGGAACCACTGGTGTAATGGATAGTGATAAACTGCCTAAATTATTCAGATTTGTAGACTATTGTAAATTATTTAAAGTGAATTTTCTAAATTAAGGATGTTGCAGATTGTTTAATGATATTTGTTCTGATTACCGCTGTTGGTGGTTTTTATTTTGTTTTGTTTGCACTTTGTAAAGTTTTGGTTTTTTTGTTATGTACCTCACGGGCTGCCGTAGCTAATGAGGGCAGGTGACTGATGATCCGCATCGAAGAAAACAAACCTTGAAAATCACCGTCGAGACCGAGCAAATTAATTCAAGTGCTGGGGATCTGCTACAACCTGCAAAGAATGTCCTGTTTATTCATTTCCGACTAACCGAATGCACTTAAAACAGTTTTGAAAAGCTAAAACTGCTATTGTCAAACCATTTTCAACATGAAAGTGGTGCATTTTCAAACATCTTTTTCGTTTTCTCTATTTTTCATTGTTAAACTTTCAAATTGCTACGTAAGTCAGGGACGTTTTGACTGGACAGAATACTAATTCAAGATGATAATGTCATTCTGACTAGTCGGAATGCCAGTTTAAGATATCTTGCATCGCTAAAATGTCTAGTCATTAAACAATTTGAGATATCTGGAATGTAAGGGCGGTAAAACCGAATTTATGTTAAAACGGCTTGTCATGATCATGAATCACACGTGAACTGATGATGATGATGATGATGATGATGATGCAGATCAGGTGAGCACGTGCAGCCACGGAGTCAGGTGACCAGAAAAAATAAATTAACACTGCAGGTAAATACAGTCTGGTGGTCTGCCTCTCTGCTGACGGAAGGTTTGAAACTTTCCCCTTCCTGCTGAAGTCCTGAGAAGCCAGCTCAATGGCAAGAACAAGATCCGTGCAA